TTCTGTCCCAGCGTGTTGTATTTATTTTTGCAGTGTGTGGCCAGTAGATGTTTTGGTGGCCAAGCCTCAGGGATGCTGGGAAACGAAAAGGCCACTACATCTCTGTATTCGTCTGCTGCTATTTGTCCGTGTGCAATTTACTCTCTTTTTTTTTCTTCTACTTCTTACATGTTGTTTTTCACTTTGTTAAATCCCATACGTCAGTGTTATTTGTGCTCTTTTTTAAGTTGAAGAATTTAGGTCAGAGTTAGATTCTCTTACCATGTAATCTCTTTCAGCATATTTTACTCCTATTTTTCTCTTGGAAGATGAAAAGCCTGATCAATAAAGTCTTTAGTGTGAAATAAAGGTTTGACGTTTCTTATCAAAAGTGTTCAGTTACTTTTCTTTTTCAATCTGGAATATGTCAGAGCTTAGTAAAGCACATACTTGCTTTCCTAAAAAAAAAAAAAGTTGTTAGCACTTAATAACATGGTGTATTATAATTGAGGAAATAGACAGCGTGGAAGAAGATAATGTCTATAAAGGAATGTGCATGTCCTGGAAAAACTGCTTTTACTCTCTGGCATTCTGATTGATTGGATTCAAGGGGCCCAGGTTTTGCCAGGAAAACATTCCTCACAGCCCGACACCCACAACCACCAACCTGAAGTGTTGAAGCAATGCAGGTGGGGTCTGTTGTTTCAAGGTGTGGATGCCAAATACTACCAACATGTGCAGCTGGAGCAGAAATCTCGATTCAAGCTCTACCTATATCTGTTCAGAAAATAATCTGCAGCGCCACGGCACATTCGGTACGGTGACTCGTCTTAATCACCGTACAAAGCCGATGTTGGAGAGGTAATATTTGCATGTTGTGGAAAAAAAAAAAAGCAAGGGTGTCAGCATCATGAATACTTTAATATATAAAATACAATTAAAATGTGTTTACTCCTCAGCAGTTTTTACTGCTCGATGAACTGTGCGATGCTGTGAGACCTCTGGTGGAGCCAGCTGCACATTGTCCCAGTTTATGGTCAATGGAAATGTAGCTTATGTCATTCTTTTCAAGACAATAAATGTAAGTCCATATAGCTGAAGAACTGCTACACATTTATATTTTACGACTTCATACATCATTCTTAATGCACTTAGGAGAAATGACTTCAGTCTTGTTGACGTTTGTAAATCCTGCTGCTTGCTGGTCCAAACCCGTGACCACTGCTCCCTCGACCGACGAAGCCTATTCGCCGATATACAAATCAGCTGACGAGGGCCTGTGACTACCTGTTCTTTCACTAAACACGTAGAGCTGGCCAAGCTGGCGTTTTAATCCCGCCTCGAATTGCTTCATGAAAGCTGACTGCGGTCAAGTCAGCAGCAACATGCAGTCAGTCAAAATGTTGGGCTAATTGCTTTGTCTTGTGACAGAATTGTAAATAAATACTTCCAAATATCGTAAAATAATCAAACCGTCAAGAAAAATGAATTACAACTCAGTTGTTTAGTTCAAGAGGAGCTTAACATGTGGCAATAGACAATACATTGTTTTTTTTGTTTTTCTGCACAGGCATTTAGAGGAGGGAGATTTTTTTTTCATGCCACTGATTTAAATGGTTCCCAGCTGAAATGTCACTCATAGCACTGATTACAATAACAAAACGTGTATTTCCCAGTAGGAACTGTGTGTGGGCCTTAAAGGCAGCATGATGTTTGAATGCGCCTCCGTGTGTGTGTGTGTGTGCGTGTGTGTGTGTGTGTGTGTGTGTGTTTTCACACATGGCTCTTGGAATGATTCAAATGAAACGGTAACCTTCGCTAACTGGGCCCACATGAAAGGCAAGCTGTAGGGAAGGTTGGGGCTTCAAAGAAAAATTCATTACTCACTTTTAAACGCTGATGATTTATCATTTGATTGAGTCCTGGTATCGGTTCTGCTCTTTGACTCAGTCCTAGCACGCGGGCCACTTTGAACCGGCGCACGTCGCCGTTCGCATAATAATTTTCCCCCTCTCCATATTCTCGCAGCAGGTGTCCTGATCTAATTTCATCAACGTTGCAGGGCCGCTAACAAAAATAATAACGATCACGCAGAAAACAGGCTGACGTGGTCACAGAACGCTAATGAGAATTTTTTCTTTTTTTTTCTTTTTTTTTTTCGGTCTACGTGATTTTGATGCGTGCATGTGTGCTGGCCTGCGCTCTTGGCTTACTTGCTTGTGTGTAAGCCACTACTTTCCCACGTTGTGGAGTCGGGTCTCCCACAGGCCTCCCTCCACCTCCCCTCTCTTTCTCTCGTCTCTCATTCTTTTCTTCCCTTTTCTCCTTCATGTCCTTCTCTGTCTTTCTTGTACCTCTCTCTTCTCTTCCCCTCTGCACCTGTAGTCAGTGCCGCAGCCCCAGCTGCTCCCATCTCGGCTCAGAGAGCTGTTTGGCCTGAGCCAGTGTTGCACTTGGCATGTCCTCTGAGAACCTGGGGCCACGCTTGACGTGCGAGGCCCAGGCAGGCCCCCACCCCGGGAAGACTCCTGTGGCCATGAGTTAAGAGTAGACGCATGAGAGTAGGGCTGTGGCCAGGAGAAAGACCTGCTGGAATTCTGGGAGTATTATGCTGATTCATTTGTTCAAATTTTAAGAAAAAACATAAGGAGAAACAGAGGACGTGTAGAAAAGTTACACAGATTTCTAGAAATTTGAAGCCGATTCCAGAATGGAACCAGCCTCTTGAATCACATGATAGACATCTCTCCTACTTTTTGTAATGTTTGCAAACCAAGCAAGATATTAGTTCTAACACCAATAAGTAACCTATCTTGATATCGGTCAGAGAGGTTCCTTATACAGATGGTAAACAGAGATTTTAGGCAGACTTGCTGCCTGAAATATTCCATACTTGTTTTTATTATTCTAAAAGAGGTAAAAGCCTCAGAATAATATCACAATATTGCTGAATATTTTCAAAAAATATCTTTATCAAAAAAACTTAATCATGTTTATCAGTTTAATTAGTCGTTAACACAAATAGTGAATCAGTCAATCTCACCAATGTATTTAGGCATTACAGCCAAGCATGGTGGAAAGGGATTCAAATGACATGGATGTAGCATCGACGTTCATGCTGAGCTGGCTGGTCCGTGTCCAAGAAAGAGGAGATATTCAAGACGATAGTTGGGTCAGAAGCGTGTGTGATGAGTTCTAGGTTCTACAAATGTACACGGAGATGCAAACAAATGCAAACAAGCCTTCCATCGAAATATGAACACCTACATAAAGGTTTCAAAACTTCAGTCAAACAATGTCTAACTCTCCAGCTTTCCACTGGAACATGATCAACTCTGGTGTTTTATCATTCCGAGCTCCAACTTCTCAGTCAAGCCGTGCGCAGAATCACTTGCCTCTAACCCAGCTGGTGCTCCGGTGTAGACCTGAAAATGTTATTCAATTTCTGTAGTCCTCTGTTACGTGCCATGGCATCTGAATGGCTGTAGGTGTCTTTTTGTTGTTGTTGTTTTCCCCCCCCCCCCCCAACAGTCATAATTCAAGGCATCTTTTCACATCAATTCAGTTCCACAACACCATAAATATTTATCCAAAGGTCTCGCTAAACATGTTCTTATTGGTCTGAAAATACTTGGAAAAAAAATCACAAATGATGGCTTTAAACCTTGGAAACTTGGTTCCCATGAATCTTGCAAACATCTTTCTGCCTTGGAAGGTAAAAGACGTGTGGGTTTATGATGAGTGGCTTACCAGAACCCATCATCATAAAACAGCAACTTTTAATTAAACTGCAACGAGGGTTACCATTGACCTTAAAGAGCCAAGGGCATGTGGAAATCTGAACCATGAGCCATCAGATCCATCTGGTACCAATGCTTTTTATTAGATTGATTGGTGTACTCTTGGTAAGCAATCGGGTCGGTTAATAAAATGTTCCATGAGGGAAGGACTTTCTTAACGGTGTTGATGATGGATCAGAAGGGTTCCCTGTTAAGTTTAGATAGACGCTAGCATTAAATCTCAGTTGTAAAAAAGATTTATGTCCTCTCTAAAAGTGTTTTTGTACGTATCAAAAAGGGATTGTTGGGTTATGATTACCCTAATTTAATTTCTCTTTATCTAATGAGGAGCATATGTGTAATTTGTTACGAAACCAACTGCGTATATTTCTAGGTCTCGCATCATTTAATGCATTTTTTTTTTTTTTTTTTATTCCTCGTGAATCCATGAACCCTCGTAAAAGTGCAGCCACACGGCAGACCCCGAGCAGGATGTTGTAGTGGAGATATTTGTACAAAAAAAAAAAAAAAAAAAAAAAAGGACAGCTTTGTTGTGAAATGTGCTCTACCTTAAGAATAGAAGCCCGCTGCCAAACGTGAAAACGCGCAAAACAGTCTGGGAACTAGACACTAATCGAGACATATTTCCATAAATCCCAGCTTGTGTCGACCACATATGGAGTGTCTGTATGCGCTTGTGAAAATAAGTATATCTTTGCAGTGATTAAAGCAGACAGGGAGAGGGATATTAAAATCTTTGGTTTCCTCACTTATTAGTTTTCCCACTATTTTTCTTTCCTTTTCCCCAATTTGGCAGACATTCTCAGCTCTTCTCCTACTGACCCGGTGGGGAGGGGTATCGTGCACGCAGACCTTTAAATCTGCCCGTTGACAGTTCAGCCCCACTTTGTCAAGGCCCAGTGAAAGAGAGGATAATCTATGTTCGGGGCGAGAAGAAAGAGTGGAGGATATATGTCCCTGTGCTTTGTTTTGCATCCATGAGCTGAGATTCAATAGCAAGACATTAGTCAGATAGCTGGCCAACAGACCATTGTGTAGTAATTGACCCTGATGAAGTGGTGGGCCTTTTAAATTGGGAATGGTGTAAAGTCATTGAATTGATAGCTGTGCTGGACCTTCTTTTTTCCCCCCTGTTTTACGTCTTACATAGACATCCTGTTAAAATTTAGGACCGAAAACATAATTTTAGGCGTAAACATGCTGGTGCTTTGTGTGCTTTAGGTACCATTATCCTGTCCCTAAGATCTTCTACGTGCAGCTCTCCGTGGGGAGTCGGGAGTTCATCGGGGAAGGACGCACCCGCCAAGCGGCGAGGCACAGCGCTGCCATGAAAGCCCTCCAAGCACTTCGCAACGAACCGATCCCTGAACGGCCACCGCAGGTAAAAGCGAACTCATAAAAGTCTCGGAAATGACACAGAATAACACCCAACACCTTACTTTAATTGAATTTCTCTACGTCATCCACATTTGGAACGATTTCCACATTTGTGAAGGTGAAAGGAAAGCTGTTAGTTTCTTATCAGCATCTGTTAATCAGTCTGGATCCATGTGGCATTTACTCTTTGCAGCTACTCTCTGCACACCCACCTGTATTCCAAAGGACTGAGTTGGATATAAAAATTTGAAGCTGTTTTTATGCTATTTTCACCTCTTCTACCACGTGTTGGGTAATTGGAAATCTTAAAAAGCACGATATGTGTCCTTTAAACAATAGCTGTGTCAGCCTTCTTATGTTGGTTTTATGTTGCAATCGCATCCATTTGGTGTTTTCGCTGCTTTCACCTCAGAGGTCTATTCCAACCTGAAACTTTAGTTTAATTAAAAGTGAAAAGGTTTTGTGCTCTTGGTTCCTTTTCTCCTCTATCTGAAAATAATCCAAAGATGTTTTTTTTTGTTTGTTTGTTTTTGTTCAGTTACCAAGATGACTGTGTATCCACCCTTAATCAGGTTCAAGCCAAATCCGCCTCAGCTCTAATTACTCTAATGTGTCACATAAGCCCCGCAGTCTAGTTTGCACCTGGCAGGGCTGCATTTTCTGTTTCCCTACCCTTTCTGCCTGCCTTCTCCCAATGTCATTGTACCTCTCCGAAGTTCCTTAAAGTCATACTTGTTAACTGTTGTTAGCATCTCCCACCGGAAATCAAATTACCCCCTGTCCCAGTTGCCTGGCATCGTTGATGGTTATTTAAAACGCTTTGGCTCTTCTCACTTGCCTGCATCGCTGTCTTGTGGCGTCGGCCATCATAAACGAGCTCTTTGTTTGCTCCTGCTGAGTCTTGATTTACAAATTGAGCCGCATTGTGTAGACCGTATAAGCATGTCATTCTGTCTATACGTGAGTGTGTGTGTGCGTCTGCGTGCGTGTGTGTGTGTGTGTGTGTGTGTGTGTGTGTGTGTGTGTGTGTGTGTGTGAATGAGTGTCAAGATTTTCCAAGAAGAAGTTTTAGAACTTGTTTTCCTTGAAACAAAAAATTTTTTGCATAGTTTCTTTTTTTTTTTTAATTAATGAGTAGAAATAATCATATTTCTGAATATTTTTTTTTATTTTGTCACATAAAACCCACAAATTTTAGTGTAAATTAGTTTGAGGAAAATAATACATGCTTGTCATTTTTCTTTTTTTTTTTAATAAAGATATATTAACTGAAGTATGCAGTGTTTTTCACTCCCTTGTATTTTAAAACCCATAAATATGGTTTTGCAGTGATCAAGTCAAAGTCAAGACTTGCCTCAACAAACTGTTCATACTCGAAAACCCTAATATTTCTAAGAAAAAAAAATCCTTCACAAAGATTTAAAAGACTCAACTTCACAACCATGTGCTATACTTTTGTTGTTTGTTGTTCTTTGCCATCTTGAATCTCTTACTCTTCCCTTTTGATCTAGAATCCATTCACCCGGTGAAAGAAGTTGCTCATAACCTTGTAGCTCAAGGTTAATAAGTTTTTCTTTTCTGTTCTCTGCCTGCCATCACTTTTCATTTAAACAGTTCCTTCAGGGTGAGTGCGATGCTGCACTGTATGCGTTTCTGCACTACGACAAGGACTCTCTGACCCGACCATCAATAAGCAGAAGTGGTGCTGAAGTCCAGTCCATTCCAGCCTGCCTTTCAGAAACTTTTCTCCTGGCAGCTTGTTAAGGCGACCTTGAGAGCGGATTCTCTATTCATCACGCATATCAGGACTGATAGCGACAGAGGAAAATGCAGCCTCGCAAGCTGAGTTGAAATTTAACTGAGAGCAAGAAAATTGGACTATGTTGCTTTTGTTGTGTTAAATACCAAAGATAGACAGAAAAAATAAGGTTTTTGTTAAAATAGATTAAAACATGGTGGTAAGTGAAGTGTTGGGAAGACCATCAGAAAAGAAATACTCTAGGCCGGCCTGGCTGTACCGCCTGATTTTGTTTTCTGTTGCATTTCTACAGAAAAAGGATGCTGTGTATGAGAAATGATGATCTAAGCCTCCAAACTGCCCCAAAAGTTTCCACCTTAGTGGAAACTTTTTGTGTGTGTGTGTGTGTGTGTCATAAGAAATGCAGGTAAATCTCCCCTGAATTGAGTTACAGCTCGGCGCAACGTCTGCTTCCTCTGAAATCCAAGAAATCTCATCTCAAAGTACTCGTCACGATCCACGTCGGGTCACACAATGAACCAGAAGAAGCGACGGAACCCTGAGGGGAAGGACTGAGACAAAGAGCTGGACATTGAAAGATAAAGATCGAGACATGACGCTGCATTCCAGCAGGCTACAGGCAGCAGAAAAGCCCCCAGTTGTGGGATATGATCTCACTGGATTGAGCTTAGTTTCATTATCAACTGAAGTGACTGTAAGCTGGTGATTTCCCGGCAGTTTCTCTTATTGATCTAGTTTTGTGTAAGCGAAAGTCTTGGAAGTTAAAGCTTAAGCTGGAGTCAAATGAGCAAATTCCATGAAAGAAATATTTCTTAATATCTAATTTAAAGCCACTATTCCATAAAGAAAACAAGGAAACCCTTGAATGTAAATCATTGTGTCAATGACCTAGTTGTACAAAATGTGGACCTGAACTGAAGTCTTCAATCCCATGTCAAAAAAGGCCAGTATGTAAGTGGTTTAAATATAAAAATAAAGAAACAAAATGCTGGACCAAGATAAAATTACTTTTTATGCTGTAAGTATGTTATGTCACAAAAATTCAGCATCCTAACTGGACTGTACAGATGTTTTTATACCCGCTGTATGCTTCTAACCTACATCCTCAAATGTCTGAACCTGCTCTGGGTTTAAAATTGGGTTTTCTTTTGGTTGTTTATTTTGATTTGACATTCTGATGTTATACTGTAAAGCTGGCTAGTTTCACATAATCCTAATGCTACTTGCTCATATAAGCAGGTATATAAATACAACCCACATCTACCTTTTTTAAACACTTTGACCATTTCAGATTCATCTGCAAATGTCTACTTTGCCCTCTAAGAGGATTTTAAATTGTCAACAATCTGACTCCGTTTTATTTATTTCTTTACTTTTTGATATGTCAATTGTTAACCGAGTTGCTCAGTAAAACACATTTACAATAATTGTTGTTGTTTTTTTCTTTTTTTTTCACTTTCATTTCCAGAGTCCAGAAGAGAAAGTGGAGACACAAGAAGGAACCGATGCCAGCAAATCAGAGATTAGCCTCGTCTATGAAATCGCCCTCAAAAGAAACTTATCTGTTAACTTTGAGGTAGGAACAAAAACACAGCCATCAGGCAATCATTTTAAGTTCATACCATCAAGTTGAAAAATTATCAAGAATGTCAGTGTTGTGGCTGTGAACTGGATCGGGATGAGAAATACAAAAAGAAGGTCTGCAGGATGAAGATTACCTTCATCCTGCAGACAGTTTTTATCTTGTTTTTATCTCTTTGAGCTTTCAGGGTTTCTTGAGGAACGTGTTGGATTTGAAAATGCCTGCACCAAGGCTGCTGTTTTAATATCAGCAGGAAATGCAGAAAATAGTTTTATCTATATTAACAGGTCAGTGTTTCTAAAAAGTGGAAGTCAGAAATTGGCAGCAGCACTCGTACTGGTGCATCTCTAGACGCGTTCCACCTTCTTCACACCCAAAAGTTGTCAGCTTTGGCGACATTCCTCAGCCTCAGTGGCTCCACATCAGTCCCCCAAAATAAACTCCCCACCAGTTTTGTTCGGTTTCTTTGCTACACGTGATCCTACCCTTAGAGCTGCATCCTCAAAGTCAGAGTAGCTCACTCTGTCCTCATATGACCTGCTCTGTTCTTCTTGGCTTTTACCATATCTTAGCTGACTCATCTAATATTCTCTCCCCAAGCCTCCACCCCCTCATCTTCGTTCGCGCTCGGTAAGGTGCCAAAAACAAGGGAAGCTCAGTTTACACTGTGTGCTCCCTCCCTTCCTCCTTAGACCTCTCCCTTCCATCTCCATCACTCCCAAAAATCACAAATGAGGCAGTTGCATGTGGAGACAAGGGGGGAGATGCAGACGCAGGAAGAGAAGTAACATATTTTCTCTCTGCTGACTTGGCTTGTTAATGAGTTTACCCCTACTTTGGAAAAGTTATCTGGAAAACTGTTCGCCCTCACCTTCCTCTACTCATTTGCCCTTTAAAGCAGGATGTAGTTTCCTTTTTAGGAACGGCTATTAATTATTTTAGCCGGCTAAATCAGGGGTTGAGGTAATTCATTATCTGTCATGTCTTTGTCACTGTCCTTGATTACACTGTCATTTTTAGTCCTGGGAAATTTGGAGAGAGAGGCTGTATTTTTGTTCTTCTGAACCATTTCCTGTTTTCTCTAATTAATGTTTTTTTCCCTTCAACTTTTCCTATTTTTAATCACCTTAAATATCTCTATCCAAAATTAATCTTTCCAGTTTTTTTCCCCCACTTGTGATTTGTGTAGTTCTTGTTTTTTTTGTTTGTTTTTTTTTGTTTTTTTTTCCAGTAAGCTTGCTGGAATATTAAATAATTAAATAGTCCTTGTAATTTTGGAGCTAGCTTAGCAGTGAAGCTACAGATTGTCATGAACCATTAATGACCCATAATCCTCACAGCATTACTGGCAAAGAACATCCTTTCCCAGTTAAACACGTGCAACAGCTGCAGTCTGATGCTCACATACTGGCTTCCTTTTACCCTTCATTACATGAAGTAAACACTTTTCCAGGAACTCAAGTCTTAAACCAGGAGTCCAAGTCAAGTCTCAAGTATAATAGAGTCATTCTTGGTTTGACGTGTAAAGACCAAGGAAGCTCATGAAAGAAGCTGACAAGTGTGCATCAGTCATAAATAATAAAAGAACAGTTAAATTGGAGGAATAAGGTAACAAATGACCAAAGGCGCGGTATGATGATTCACTTTTACTCAGTTTCTATTTCAGTAACAGTAAATTGTCTGGGCACGCTGTACTGAGCGGGAAACAAGATTTAGTAAGATGTAGCACATGATAGCAAACAATAAGGCATGCAAATTCAAAATCCAGCGGCGCTAAAAAGCACACGCATACAAAGAAAGCTGTTTATTTTCAACTCGACGTTGCTTTTAAATGAAAAAAAATTAATAAATAATGGAAAAGCTATCTTTGTGCTAATGCTCTTATTCAATTTACCTTTGTTTTTATATCTACTGCATCCTTCCTTTGTTACAATCCTTACTCCATTTAGTTTAGGTATTTCAGTAAATACCAAATACAGTTTTAATTTATTTATATCAACGTTTTTAGTTTATTAAAAAAAAAAAAATTTTGAATAAGTGTCTCTTTTCTTGTAATGGCACAAGGCATACATTTATGTACATCCAACTATAAAGCAAAATTCAATAAGTTTGCGGAAAAACAAACACGAACAATAAAAATTACCAGTTCAAATGATGAAACGTAGAGAACTCG